AACCACTTTGTATTACACACCTCTGCTAGTGTCTCAGGAATTGTAAATTATGTTTCATTGTAGGACTAAAGTGAAGTCCTAACAAGGTCTTGTTTATTAAGTCCTGGTTTTGGTATTTGTGTTGTTCTGGGGAGAAGGGGTGACCTGTAGACTTTCTGCCTAGTAGCCCCAATCTTCTCTGCTAATGCAAAGCATTGGACTCTTCTAATGTAAATAGTGTTTATGGAGCCTGTTCTGCTTATTATTCAAATTCAGTAAGAAAACATTGTGAACCAAACTTAAGAAGACACATCTAGACATGGAAAAGAACAGAGCGCTCCAGTTCTTAGAACATGAAATAAGGGAGCCGCCTGGTGGTTAAAGTGGTACACCGTCTTGTTTCTGGGTACCTGAAGAATAGTGATTTTACTGTTTTATTAACATGACCGAAAAAGTAAAGAGTAAAAACACTGTAGTAAAAAACAAAAAAAATAAAAGCATTTAACTAACGGACCTTTCCCAAACCCACTTACTCTCACTTTTTCTAAAACCATACCTGCTGAAAGTGGTTTATGGATAATATCAGTATTCATTCATTTAAAATTCTCTCTCTCTCTCACACACATCTACACATTTTCTCAGTGCTTATTACTTTGGTCAGTTTTAACCCTAAAGAGATGCCACAAATCTCACAGAATAACTTCACTGAATGACTTAAATAACTTTCAAGCACATAGAGAACTCAGATTAAGAAGCCTGATTAGCATAAGTTAAATTAAAATCTACTTAAAAATGTAGGGGCGCCTGGGTGGCTCAGATGGTTAAGCGTCTGCCTTCGGCTCAGGTCATGATCCCAGGGTCCTGGGATCGAGTCCCACATCGGGCTCCCGGCTCAGCGGGAAGCCTGCTTCTCCCTCTGCCTCTCTCTCTCTGTCTCTAATGAATAAATAAATAAAATCTTTAAAAAAAAAAATGTAAAAACCAGGGCGCTTGGGTGGCTCAGTAGATTAAGCATCTGCCTTCCACTCAGGTTGTGATCTCAAAGTCCTGGGATTGAGCCCCACATCCGGCTCCCTGCTCAGTGGGGAGTCTGCTTTTCCCTCTCCCTCTGCTCTTCATCCACCCACAATCGTGCTCTTTCTGTCTCTCTCTGCTCTCTCTCTCAAATAAATAAATACAATCTTTTTTTATTTTTATTTTATTTTTTAAAAATATTTTATTTATTTATTTGATACAGAAAGAGAGAGATAGCGAGAGCAGGGACACAAGCAGGCGGAGTGGGAGAGGAAGAAGCAGGCTTCCCGCTGAGCAGGGAGCCCGATGTGGGGCTCGATCCCAGGACCCTGAGACCATGACCTGAGCCGAAAGCAGACGCTTAACCAATTGAGCCACCCAGGCGCCCCTAAAATCTTTAAAAAAAAAAAAACCCACTGGGGCGCCTGGGTGGCTCAATTGGTTAAGCGACTGCCTTCGGCTCAGGTCATGATCCTGGAGTCCCGGGATCGAGTCCCACATCGGGCTCCCTGCTCAGCAGGAAGTCTGCTTCTCCGTCTGACCCTCCTCCCTCTCATGCTCTCTCTCATTCTCTCTCTCGCAAAATAAAAAAAAAAATAAAAATAATTTAAAAACCCCCACTATTTTGGTATCAGCTTATCAGTCAATTAAAATCAGTACTTCAGGGACAGAAAAAAAGGGTAAGACTCCCTTCATGATTCAAAAGGCTGACAATCTAGTAAGGAGATAAAGTAAACAGGTAATAGAAACTATTTAGTAGAGTGGTGGAAGATAAGGCTGGAAAAGTAAATTGCTACAACTTGGAATTTCAGGTTGAGGAACTTGAACCATTGGTAACTTGATAAGAGTATTGATAAGATGACTGGAAACAGAGTGTAAAATGGCTTGGAATAGGGAGATACAAAAAAACCCAAAGACTAAATGCCTATTGCAACAGCTCACAGTGGGGTTTTGGAAACTCGGTTAAAAGGGGCAGTGGGAGTTAAGGAGATACATCTAAGAGTTTTTACTTTAAAATTTTTACTGAAAATGTTTATTTTTCTGCATGTGAGAATATGTGACTCCTAGAAGGCATCACCAGTGTCATGGATAAACAAGTTTAATAAACTTATTTATTTTTATTGTTATGTTAATCACCATACATTACATCATTAGTTTTTGATGTAGTGTTCCATGATTCATTGTGCATAACACCCAGTGCTCCATGCCCTCTTTAATACCCATCACCAGGCTAACCCATCTTCCCACCCCCCTCCCTTCTAGGGTGCCTGGGTGGCTCAGTTGGTTAAGCGATTGCCTTTAGCTCAGGTCATGATCCTGGAGTCCCAGGATTGAGTCCAGCATCAGGCTCCCTGTTCAGCCAGGAGTCTTCTTCTTCCTCTGACCCTTCCCCCTCTCATGTGCTCTCTCTCTCTTTCTCATTCTCTCTCTCAAATAAATAAAATCTTAAAAATATAAAAACAAAATAAAATTTTTACTTTAAAAGACCCAAGTAGGGGCACCTGGTGGCTCAGTCGGTTAAGCATCTACTTTTCGCCAGGTCATGATCCTGGATGGAACAAGCCCTGTGTCAGGGCTCCCTGCTTCTACCTCTGCCCCACCCCCCACTCATGCTCTCTCTCCCTCTCTCTCAAATAAATAAATAAAATCTGGGGAAAAAAAAAAAAAGAAAAGAAAATCCAAGTAGTTTTGAAGTTCTACATGCCATCTAAAGAGAATAATTTGTTTTCTTGAATATATTTTCCTTAGGAATTTAAGCATATCTTCCATGATGTCTTACATAAATTCTTGATTGGTTCAATCTATGGAAAGGTTGTTAAGCAAAAGAAAACTTCCTCTTTTATCTGTTTCATTTATCCAATTAAAAACAAACCAAACACACATTTAGGATGCTTGTGTCCTTGAATAGTTAATAGTTTCTGGGTTTTTCTACCTTCCTTTTTAATTGTGGAGAGAGGGAAGGAAGAGCTCTAGGGTTGAGAAGTTAAGTAGGTTAAGTAGGTTGAAGACTTGACTTGATGGGAGAAAGGAACACTGGGCAAGAGGACAGCTCTTCTTGGAAGATCACACATCTACCATCAACACAACTTCCTCATTATCTTTCCACCATCTGCCATCTTAGGCTATCTTTTTGTTGCTATTGCTCCTTTTAAGGCTGCTCTTGATACTCATTTTATAGCAAGGGCCACCCCCAATGCCCTAGAATATTACTATGTGCAACAAGTTGGTATTAGACGCAATTCAAAAAATAAAAGAGACATTCACTCAAAAAGATAAAATTGAACTTGTGTGTGACTTACCTAGGGAAGGCTCTGTTCTCAAAGCATTTCTACAGGTAATAGGTGAAAGGTGTCTGCATATTTTTTTGGAACCAAATATTTGAACACATGATGTCAAAATTGTTCTATTTTTAAAATCTATAAAAGCAGTGAGCTGCATATTCTCTTTTTTAATTTCTCTCATTCCTTTGCCATATTAGAACCTCGAAGTTACAATCTTCACCTCTACAATGCTCATCTCAGTGGTTCACTGGGTCCCACTGGTTCTCTTTAACCCTGACTCAATCTGCTTCTTCTTCCTCTTCATCAATGATTCAACCTTGGTTCAGGCACTCATTATCTCTTGCCAGTGCCACACTAGTTTCTATATTCAGTTTCCTTCCTCTCAGTTATATTACCAGCTGAGTTACCTAAATTGAAACTCCTCTGCTTAAATCCTTCCACTGACTTCCAGGATAAGTCCAAACTCTTAGCATAGCATGCTAGCCCTTCTGTGATACAGTCCCACCTGGGTCATCTGGGTTCTTCTGGGCCATTTCTCTTCATACTTTCACTTAATATCCCAAACTCTATTCCAATCTAATATCCTCCCATCCCCTTGAAAAAGTTCAACCCTCTCAGCCCCTCTATAGGGCTTCATGGGTGCTATAACTTCTGCTTAAAGGGCCATTGCTCATCTCTTAACTAATTCTTACTCATATTTTAAGACAGTGAGGAAAGTTCTTTGAAAAGGAGAAACTGATTCAGTAAGAGTGGATTAGATATCTTTGCTGTGCACTTCCTAATACACTGGACTTTCACTCTATCATAATACTTATAACGTGTACTATAATTTTCTCCAAATCAACTATGAGCAACTTGAGGGTGGGGCTGTGTCTTTTATCTACTATGGTACTTGTTACACATTAGGCATTCAAAAAATTTTTTGATGCCCCTCTGAAAAAGGAACTTACCGATCACAATGAAAACTGCATTTTATTTGCAGTTTCTCTCATGCCCTCACTCTAATCACTTTCCTTTCTAATCTATCCTGCAGACCAAATTTCTCTAAATTATTCTGTCAAGGTCTTTCCTTGTTAAGAAAATTTGGTTTCCTCATTGTCTATGATAGCAAGTCAAGACACCTGGGTTTGGTTTTCAAAAAATATTTGGATCTACTTCTGCTTTATTTCCAGGCCCTATTCTCCCTTATCTCTGGTCACTTCAAATACTCTGCCTTCACTTTTCCTGTTGAAATCCCACCTGTTCTTTCAAGACCCTGCTCAATAATCATTTCCTCATTAAAGTCTTCTTTGGCTCTTTAAACACATATTGAGCATATAGTTTACCACTAATTTGGGCACTTACATATCATCTTGTTTGGATGTAACTATTTCTTCTATAGGCCTTTTCTTCTCCACAAGGTGATTTAAGTTCCGGGCGGTGGGAGGGAGGGAAGGGCAGGAATAATACCATACTTTTTGGATCTCTCAGTACAGTAATAGTGATTCAATTTCAAAAAAAATGAAATTGCTATGAGAATTATCAACATATGTAGAATAACTACCAGAGTGCCTGGTATACAGAAAGTGTGCAACTATTATTCTAATGTTAGTTGATTTTTAAAAAATGTATCATACTAAGTAATGAGTATATTAAAACATTTACTCTTCTGGTGCAAAATACCTAAAATATCACACTAACAGTCATAATTTCTGGTGACCTAATAAAATCAAAAGATACAATTACTGTTGTTATTAATATGATCTTTAATAAATGAAATAATGCACCATTTTACAGCAAGCCTTTTTTAAACCTAAAGAACTGTCTTAAAATCTTCTCCAATGTCTCTGTAGCAATACAATCTTTTTATTTAGGTTTATATATATCAAAGCATTTACTTACAATTATTCATAAAAAACTCTTTAGTGGCTTAATGTCAGCTTTCATAGTGGCATCCATAGATAATACAAAAGAAAAGTGATTTGCTTTATTTCATACTCACACTGATCCATCAAACACAACTTACACAGCATAGCAAGGTCTCAGACGGCTTTTACAAAAGCAAAATAATTGAAAGTAATTATTCATAAATTCATATGATATTCTATCTGTAATGTAAGAGCAAAACACACCAACAAAAGATACCCGTTAACAAGAAAGAGGGTTCTGAGGAATTGCCAATATTTTTCAGCCTGCCTTATTCCACAAAAGCATCCTCAGAAATGAATACTCTGTAGCTTATGTTTCTCCTGTCCATTCAGAAAAAGCATGGCAGCTACACATCTCCATGTTTCAGCTACTACAATACCCTAAGAGTTAGTGTACTTTACAATTATCCACTTATCTTCATTTGAAAAATTATCAACAGAAAATTAAGGATGATTCCAGCTTATACAAACACTTACACAATATAATTTCCATGGAAACATGACAAGGCATACAAAAACTTTAAATAAATAAATGTGACGAGAAAAAGAAAAGCCACAGAAGCCAAGCAATTCAATTTTAACCAGAACCTATCTTTGAATTGCATCTTTTAGTAATTTAGTTTTCTTACTATTAAGCTCCTTTAAAAATATGTTTCCTTATCATACTTAAGAGGTTTGGTAATAAGGTGGAGAGCCTGAGACAAGAGACGGGTTACAAATAACTTCACTGCTAGGATTTTAAGTATACAGCCTATCAATTTGGAGCTTGGACTTGTCTGATTGAAGGAAAAATTCTATTTGGATCTGACAAGGTGATAAATAACTTACCATAAGTTACCTTCTCAAAACCATCCAAACTATTACTAAAGCTATAGACTCATTATTTCACTTTTAGAAGAGTTTTTTTAATGTTAAATTACCTCAAGAAAATTTTATCTCAGAGGAACAACTTTACTAAGTTCTCCCATTCAAAAACAAAGCAAAATGAAATGATTTGTCCCATCGTGTATAACCATTTACCCAAAGAAGAGAAATGGTTTTAAGACGGTGCTTCAACTCTAAGGCCTAAATAGGCTGCAACATGTAGCCAATTAGTTGAGTCATTTCCCTCTATTCAGTAATTATAGAACTGGGCAAGTTTTTATGATTAATGAAATCTGATGTTATGTCTATGTAAATTAAGTCAAATCATAAGATGAAACATTAAATGAACTGTATGTGCAACAAACACTTTAAATATTCAACTGGACTAATTGCTCGTTTGCTACCAATTAAAGTTTCTCATGTGCAAAGGGATGAAGAGGGCCCTGAGTTTTTAAGTAATATTATGTCTATAGAGTGAGTCTAAAACATGAAGATGTTTCTGAAATCTAAAAGTACAAATAAAATGGAAAAAACCTACATGTTGCCTTTTGAAACATTTTTTAAAAGTTATAGTTTAAAATAGAGTAATTTTTAAAAAAATTCAATCATAAACTGGATGCCCTAGTGATGTGATTTATTTCTAAAGATTTCTTCTCTCTTACCCAAATTTTAGAATCTGGGTTGCAAATTAAGTTTAAAAAAATGAATGTCACCACAATTAATAGTAACACTATGAACATCACATAATAACGGAATTGGAATTTTCAAGATAGATTTATTTGGGGCATAATTCTAATACACAGCATTAAATCTTCTGAATTATTTACTTTCAAATGTATCAGCCATGAGATAAAATTCTAAATTTTCTTTATATGCACAAACACTCAACTTTAACCAGCCACTTAAAAGTTAAATGAAAGTTGTTATAGTCCAGCCTATGTTGCAAATAATAAGTATTTCAAAAGTGGTCTGCAAAAATGTTCATAGATAATACCTGATTATTGTAAGGTTTGTTTTTGAAAGTTAATCTTGCATTTTGTGTTTAATATTTGATACAAAGAAATATGTAAAATGTTGTGGCTCAATTGTAATGCTAAGCTTGCTGCAATATAGGTTAAAAAATTTTTAATGGCAAAATTATATACAATTCTGTGTGCATGGCTTTTTAGTTATAACTAATGAGAATATAAAATTGTAAAACTCCACAATTTAATAGGAAATGTTAGATAATACAAAACTTAATTAAGTGCTGATTTTCTGACAATCTGATGGTTGGATCCATTGTCAAATGGTAGCATCTTCATTCTCAATTCTATCCTACTGAACTATTACTTAACTAGAGTAATGAATTTGAATATAATGTAAAATATAATTTCAGGTGTTCTTAAGTATAAATAGTTATTAAAATAGGGCTGAGAAGGAAATGCTAAGGGAACCACAGCAATTTTGTCTGAAGAATCGAGACTTAGATGTTAATTGAGAAGCCGGAAGCATAATGAAAAATAACAATACTGGAGAAGATAGCCAACTGCTCTCCCTTTTTACTGCTGGAGGAGACAAATGCACATAAAATGAAACAGGAGGGAAGCAGAATAGACAAGAAAATTTTCCTGACACAGAAGATTACAAGTCAGATAACCAAGGGATAGAATAAGTCAGACACAAACTAAAAGGCGGTTGAAGGAAAGTAATGGGTAGGTGCACGAGAGCACCCTGAGATTTCCTCTTTTCTTCTATGTTAGTTTAATCTGAGAAGCTATAGAAAAGCCTTCTTTTGATAATAACATTTGTGTAACCAGCTCAAACAGTGATTTGCCAGATTTACTAAATCGAGGAGTATATTTAAGAGTGGATCATGCAAGGTAGTTTTGGCTAACATTTGCATAGTTCAGAATCTGTAAGTTAAAATGCAATTTTATCCACTGAAGAGCGAACTGACAGCAAAAGGTATATTTACAAACATCTCAGTGTGAAAAAAACTTCTGGGGTGTATGTGGGAGTGTTACACAATTTCTGGAATAACAGGTCTAGATAATCAACTAACGTGTGTACAATTTCTAATCAGTTAGCTTGGAAGATAAAGTAATATATAAAGCAATCTGTGAATAGTTATGCAATAACCTGCACATAACTGGTAGTAAGTTCAACATAAATTAATAAAAGGTTGTATAGGAATACAATGTAATCTCAAGTTCTAGAAGCTAACTACCTCCAATGAAATGTTCATTTCCATAAATATTAAAAAAAACAAAAAACTTATTGAAGTATTCTTCCATTTTAAATGACTTTGAGGATGGAAAGTTCAGTAAATAGCTGCAGCCTCCCAGGTATTCCATTTGGCTTTAGACGCCAAACTTGAAAATTTTAAATAAAAACACTTGCCAAATTTTGTGACAATTCCCACTGAAACACATACTTACTTGCATGTTCCTACCTTCCTTTAGTTATTTTCACATTCAGAACCAATGTACATTTTCTGCAATAAGTGGGTACATGTAAGGAGCTATTGAAACTGCCTTATAAAAAAAGATACTATCTTTGTATCCTTCCTATGTCCTCCTCAATTAGTTTTCTGGATTAGTAAAATTTTCTTTAAATCAATATAAGCAGAAATTTTCAAGATGGAGTCAAAGGATTGATGAGACTTAAAATCCATGTTAAATTAATTCTTCAAGTCAAGTATGGAATCAATTTAGGGGAAAAGTCTTTGTTCCCAAAAGCCACCTTCACTTTTCCCTTAAAATTTACTTTTTCTTTAGTTCTACAATGCAAGAATATTAGGAGTGAAGAGAAGTGAAATAATTTTAGGATTCATGATGGCAGATGTGGGATTGAATTTTATCTTGAATTAGTAATTATTTCTCCAAGCAACAGCCAGCATAGACATGTCTACATGTCATTAAGGTATCTGCTTTGGCTTATATACAAGCCACAGTTGTGCTGGAGTGTAATGACTGAATTTCTTGCAAAATGTCAGTATATTACACATCCTGTCATACAGTGCATAGGCAGTGTGCTGTGGATGAAAGAGATGTGGAGGGCGCCTGGGTGGCTCAGATGGTTAAGCATCTGCCTTTGGCTCAGGTCATGATCCCGGGGTCCTGGGATCGAGTCCCACATGGGGATCCCTGCTCCTTGGGAGCCTGCTTCTCCCTCTGCCTCTCTCTCTCTCTCTCTGTCTCTCATGAATAGATAGATAAAATCTTTTTTTTAAAAAAAGAAAGAGATGTGGAGAAGCAAACCCAGGTTAAAATACAGCTTTCTCTATTACTAGGATGTGGAACTTGGGAAAATGGCTTAGTGTCTCTTTGCTTCAATTTCCTCAATCTGTAAAGTGGGAATATTAACTAAGATCCTTAAATAGTTCCTATGAGGATTAAAAGAGATTGTGTATGTATATCCCAGCATTCAGTATATAACAAATTGTCAATTAGTATTATTTAATTCCTGTGCCTTTTCATAACATTTTACACTGATATTGGTTTCTTTTCCCCAAATTAGGAATTTAAAAAGGGGAACACTGTTAGGAATTATAATTAAGTCATTTTTGTCTAAACCCAATTCAAACCAAGTTCTTTCAATGACTCAGTTCTGACATACAATTAGGATAGCTCAGGGAATTAATACTAGAATTTGATTACCTATTATGATGCTTTTAAGGTTGTAAAACTAGCAAAGTGAATTTTAATTTTTTTTTCATTAAATGGCCTTTATTCGAAGGATCCAAATGTTTTTCTACTACATGCAAAATATTGTGATAGCAGTTAAATATTAGCTTTAAAAAATTATTAGATGAATAAAGTTAGCAAGTATTTTAAGTAATTTTGCTTGCTTGTATATTACAAACAGATTCAAAATCAGTCTGATGTCCAATTTAATTTAAAATTTATTAAAATGATCTACACTTTTTACTCTTCCTATTTTTTAAGGGTCTACTAAAAAAAACTAGGGAAAGAAAATTATTTGTTTTAAACATGTTTGCATGAAATGGGAAACTTAAAAGGATTCTCTTTTATTTTGGTCTATTAATTCTTGAAAGCATTTTATTAAACATAAAAAAAAAAAGATGCTGGAAAAATTACAACCAACTAGCCTAAACACAAAGTAAAGTAGAATGTAAGATAACTTCTTCTGTCAGGAAAAGATCAGTTAGATCTCAAATGGTCATTTATCCTCAATTCGAGAAGGAATATAATTTATTTTGATTCAAAGATATCCTACACATGTTTGAAAATAATGAAATGCAGTTCAAAGACATTTAAAGGCAAGAGAACTAAGTGAAAATTTGGTGGGAAAGATATAAATAATTTGTTATATAGATAGAATAATTATGCCAGAAGACTGAAAAATGTTAAGGATCTGAATCAAGAGAAGGGCCAATAAAACAAAAAAAGGTGGAAATCCTGGGCACTAGAAAAATAATTAAAAAAAAAAAAATTTTTTTTTTTTTAAAGATTTTATTTATTTATTTGACAGAGAGAGAGATAGTGAGAGCAGGAACAGAAGCAGGGGGAGTGGGAGAGGGAGAAGCAGGCCCCTCGCGGAGCAGGGAGCCCGATGCGGGACTCGATCCCAGGACCCCGGGACCATGACCCGAGCGGAAGGCAGACGCTTAACGACTGAGCCACCCAGGCGCCCTAGAAAAATAATCTTAATTCTAAAAATTCAAAACTGTGTTCAGCCATCCATCAGAATAAAAGTGAAGTGTTGTAACATCTAACTTACAGGATTATAGCAGATGACGAAAAAAAAGGTTTATATAGTAAATTATAAATATTTTGGACAGCAAATTGGGACATTTATGTTATCTTTAGCTAAATGATGAAGATAGAGGAATATGAGTGAGAAAATATTGTTCAGGAGATAAAAACCTAAAAGTAAGAATATGGGCATTTGTGTTTTTCTCTTAGCTTTTTATCTTCCAGAGAAATCTTAGAACTTAGTTAAATAACATCTACTAAGTACTCTGAGAATCTGGAAAAATTAAGTGAGATCATCACTGTTTGCAAATTAATAGAAAATAATTTGTGCTTATAAAAAAAGTCCCTTATTTGACATAAAGTGCTTTATTTAAAAAAACATGCTGAGGTTGCTGTTTAGAGATAACTATCAGTAAGGAGAAGCAAAGGAAGCTTTTTTAAAAAAACAATATGACTTGAAGGATACATAACATGTTATCACTAAAAGGTATATTCTAATATAATGTAAATAATAAACGCTACTCACATATCAAAGATCATATGAAAAGCTGGTAAAAAGAGAAATTATGAAAATAGGATTAGTGAAGAAACAGTTTTGAAAAAAGAGAGGTAAGCCTCAGTCTGCTCAAAAATGATAGGTTTGGCAGCAATCTTTCCTTCCACAGGGATTTGGCATGCCAAATGAATTGATTTTTCCACACAGTGTTTTAGGTCATGGGAAGAGGACTCATTTTCAGATAAAGTCACCAGGCGTTGCTTGGGAAGAGAATAAAAAGTTACTACTTGTTCAAAACTATGAATTACTTTTGAAGTTATTTTAAATAGGAAATGTAATTTTATTTGAGTCAAAGATGGCCTATTCAGAGAATGAAGGCTATAACACTATATAGTCTTAACCATCTACCTACTTAAAAATTCCATATAAGTATAGCTCTCTAAGTTTTCTGATAAAAATGTGCTTCTTAAATAAATGAATATGGAACATGAACATACATATAAAAATAAAATAAAATGAAGAAAGGCTAATATTTGACTTCATCTACTTTGTTCTATGCTCTCTTATGAACGTCCAAAAACCAGAACCAAATACGTTTATTAAAATGCCTGGAAAGAAACATTTAGGACTTGGAAGGTTAAAAGAAATGGCATTTCAAATTAGGTTTTGGTAGTTCCTTCTTTAGAGCCCTTTGAGACAATGTTTCTGCATTCTCCATAAGGAGAGAGAAAGCAAGAAATCAGGTAGCTGCTTTCTCTTGTGCAAAAATCACTGCCATAGAACTGACCTGCCAAAAGTATGGGGGTTGGGACAGAAAAATGTACTTATTATGGAAGAATGTGTGGTCTGTTAGGAAGAGAGCTTACAAGAAAGCTTATTTGTGGACTATAGACTATTGCACGTTCAAACAAAACACAAGAGAAAAGAATGTCCAACAGATAATATGTTCAGGAACAGTTCAACATATAAACTAGCTTGTGCCCAGAAATAAAACATGGATACCAGACACCACTGCAGTCAAACCTGTCTTGCTTCTGTTTTAATGACCTTTAGAAACTGGTCCAAACTGATTATCAGCAATACATTGTTTTTGCTTTTTTTCTTAAAAAAATATTTTGAGACCACTTTTGATACACACACATATAATTCTGTGGTCATAACAGACAAATATAACTTTAATGAGACTAAACAAAAGTGCAAAACTTAAAAAAAAAAACAAAATTAAAAAATAATGGAAGCATAAGCTAAATTTTTCTGCATAGCTGAAATCTATTTAAAGCAAGTCCTGTTGCAGGGGTGGGAGAGGGTACTGACAGGAAGATAAAGCAGTTTTTTTTAAATGTCTTCTGCACGTTTAAATGATGCAAAAAATAATTTCACTCCATAGGCTTGAAAATATTTCACAGACAGTTCATTCCTATATCTTTAGAGACCATGGTTGTGGCAGTGCCTCCTTCTGCAAGGTAAACTGCGGTGCTGGATTTGGAATGAACTGCCCTGTCACTGCCATTGTTGTTGACCTCACAGTCCAGTGGTTCAGTGGAGATGACCCAGGTGGAGGGGCGCCACCGCTTAAGAGAATAGGGAGTTTTCACACGTTTCTTAATCTTTTCACCAGATCCTGATTTGCCATCTTGTGTTGATTCACCTACTGGAAATAAAAGGACAGAAATAAACTATATATAAAGAAACTATTAAATAGTAAGAAATTAGGTCTGTAACTCAAGAACAGATCAAACTAATATCTGGAGGTATTAATAGACATTACTTGAAATTCATAATGCCAGGCAATTATTTTCTAGGCAAAACTTAACCAACTTATTTTAAGACTCTTTAGGCACAATTGTTTCCGTAACTGGTTGGCTTATTCTTTTGGGCGAGCAAAAACAGAGGAGAAAATTAAAAGTTCTCAGCTGTATTCTCAAATCCTGTGGTTGTTGGTAGTGATCCTAACTTGGCAAAATGCATTTAATCATTCTACTTAATTTTCAAAGCAGATCTAATTTTAAAGGCATGTGGCATATAATATTTTCAGAAGCATGACATAAATACTACAGTATAAATTTTCTAGTAATTTCCCCTTCCCACACCTGACTAGACATTTTATTGCTATGGAGCCCTGCTATAGGGTGTATTAACTGGTCTATAATACAAGCCACTCAAACAAGGGGATAGATTCTACTGATTTTTTTTTAAAGTAAGCTCTAGGCCTAACATGGGGCTCGAACTCAAGACGCCAAGATCAAGTTGCATACTCCACTGACTGAGCCAGCCAAGTGCCCCTCTACTGATTAATTTTTGAGAGCTGAATCCCTTCAGGCCATTTTGTAGTCCTTGACAACAACCATAAAACATGACTACTTTTTTTTCATAAAGTGCTGTCAGTCTAAAAGAGAAATCATTTTGTATAATGATGACTGTTAAAGATTTTGATGGGCTCTCCTGTCTCATGTTACAATCCCTTTGGAGCTAGAAACCAAGTATCAAGTTATTTGTCTAGGGGACCCATGGCACAATGCTATAGGCATGGAAGAGGCTCAACACATAACTCTTGGAAAAGATGACACACAAAAAAAATAAAAAACAAAACAAGAACTTCAGTTTTTTTATAATGACTTCTTCTGAATTTTCTCTGGACTTTAAAGATTTAAGGTTAGTTTGATAAAATCTAGATGTATATATAATAGATATTAATATACTCAACAACTATTTCAAAAGTTCTACTGACATCATTTTACCTGGAACTTTTAAACTCGTATTTACTTAATTTCAACCATTCACAGCAAGTACGTGAATTGCATTATGAACCAGGGGCTATGTAAGGCATGTATTAAAGTTGGTATTAAGTTCTGACTGTTGTGACACTGACTATTTAATTATCAAGAACAACAAATTACTTTTTTTCTTTACAACAGTCTGATTACTTTTGAGGTCCAACCAAGTGGCTTATTTTATTTCCAAAAGTGGTAAAAATAACTAATTGTTAGTTGAAAACACAATTTAATTTTATCTAAGTAATTAAACAGTCCCAAAAGACAAGCAGGAGAGATTAAATGATCCCTCCACTTACACTGCAAACCGCTGCCATCAAGGATATTTGTGGCTGAAAGATCCAGAGAATTAGGCCTCTGTGCTTTTCTGGGTTTTGATGGTCCAGGATCTGCTACTGTGCTTGGAACACCCTGTGTAAGAACATCTTGCTCTGAACACGGATTACTGTTGTTGTTATTGGAATTAGTTCGGCCACCTTCCAGTGGCCGTTCCCTCCTGTCCACAAGACGATCCAGAACACCTTCATCATGGCCAGCCTGTTGCTCTCGTCTCAGTAAAGGTTCATGCTCATCAGGACTGGAATTAATATTCAGTCGGGTATCCTCACCAATGAATTGATTCTGCAGCATTTCTTGGCCCCTGTGTGCCACTGTGTTGGCTGTCTGGCCAGATGGTACTGCCCCATTAACATACTGGGTAGTGGCAGTATGGGAGTTAACACTGTGGTTTCTACCTGCCACACCATTCATGGTGACCGTCACCACATGAGGTTCTGCAGCATTGATTGTATTCATCTTGGCAACTCCAGTTTCTACTTGTTTCAAGTTTGATTTGTGCTTGCTGCCAAATTTCAGCCGGGGCTCCTTTGTTGAATTTTTGGTGTTTAAAGGCAAACTAGTAGGTCTCTTAGGAAGGTTTTGTTGCTTGGGGAGAGGATAGATCTGAGCGGGTGGAACATCAGGAATTAAACATGCTTGGCCATTTGCAGCTTGTGTGAAGTCCTGCTGTCCAGTCACTTCCACTGCAAGTTTTATGAGTGGGTAAAGCAAGCTAGAACTGGTGCTGCTCAGTGGGTCTGGTCCACTGAACTGTTTAAGAGAATGCTCCATGAGATTCTCATCAGAACTTTCCTTGAGGTTCTTATCAACTTCTTTTGGGTCCAGCTTGTTGGTCTCCAAGTCTTCTTCTGTAAGTTGTAAGCAGACAGGGGTTGGCCCAATTGGCTGTGAAACATTTGTGGCATGCAGATTTGTTTCATCTGAGTATGGCATCTCAGATATAGTGGTCATGCCAGTGCTTGGAGTGAGGCCAGTGGTGTTTGTGGTTGTTGTGTTGGTGGACAGGCTGGTGACGCTTGTTTCAGGGCTGGGAATTCGAGCTTGTGCTTGCTGCCGTTCATAGTTAATTGAGTTTCGGTTCTTTTCCCCTATAGTCAAAGGTGTGCTAGACATCGAATGCTCAGAGGAAATATTCTTCACAATGCTGTCAGTATGATGGATAGAGTCTTCAATGTATGAGGAAGAAGAATAATCTGGATAAGGGCCAATCTTTGGCACACGCCTATTGTGTGAAAGGTTGCTTAAAGAAAGAAAAAAAAGCCACATTGAGAATGTACATTTATGACAAACTGACCCTCCAAGTTTAATACCTCTGATTTTAAAGTATGAACTGTTTTTTATTTTATTCCTAACCACATTGTACTAGAGGTTATGTAAAAATTGTGATCACATAATCAAGTGTCAATTAATAACTTGCTAAATGCTAGTTTTTTAAAAAAGATTATCATTTGAGAGAGACAGCGCACGAGAAAGAGCAAGAGCTGGGGAGAGGGGCAGAGGGAGAGAGAGAAGCAGACTCTCCATTGAGCACAGAGCCCAGTGGGGGGCTGAGAGATCATGACCTGAGCTGAAGACAGACACTTAACCGAATGAGCCACCCAGGTGCCTCTAAATGCTAGTTTTATATGAATCAAGACTACTGAAAAACTTATGTGGATCTAGATGTGATTTTCATAGATGTTCATTATTTTGGTTTATAAGAGTTAATAAAAAAATCTCCTCTATAGTTTTGTAACATTACCAAATATTTTTATCAACTGTAGGTATAGTTGCACAACCAGTTATAAAGGTGCATGAGAGGAGGAGCCATGGTATATGTTTCTTTTGCACTCCTACAATCCTAGATACATAGTGGCAACTCAATACATACTTTACCAATTAAGTTACAATGGCCAAATGGTAAAAAGAATATAAGCTTTTAGGTTGTTCCAAAGTGCTTCCATGCTTCCATTAAGAGGCAGTTTAGAAATGGAATGTACCTTTCTGGGGGTAAATTGAGCCATATCAAAGAAAGTTCTACAGACTAACGGCAGAGTGTGACATTCAGATAAAGGAACAACAATTCAGAACTACTCTCCAACTATTAAGAGTTCTTCACTGTCATTATCACACCTTGAGAGGGATGGTTCTTGAGCATCACATGATAATATATTTAGGTTATTTAAAATAAAAGCCAGGGATAGCTTTAACTAAACAATGGGAACATTAATAGATACAAGTGTTATAGGAGAAAAGCAGCAGCTCAAGGAGAATGACAGGAGGGTGAAGAATAAAAAAGTGGTTGTATAATACTTGGAAAAGAGGTCTGGGGGGTAAGATTCAATACAATGAAACCTAGAATGGAATGATTATGGGATGAACCATAATTTAGGGGAAACTATTTAGAAGTGACTGGACATGAGAAAAAGCATGTAAAACATAGAGCTGAATGATTCAGGGGGCAAAAAATGGTCAACACAATGGAGGGTCGCATCAAGGATTCTTCTTACCATTCAAGAAAAGTTCAAAAGTACTTAGGGTAAAAGTAACTGACTTGTGAGAGAGGTACAAATAACATGCTAGAACACACAGAAAATACAGAGATCAGTGGAGAAAGAAGCAGAAGACTATCCTCAGGTATGCATAAAGTAAGAAAATTCGTATTTAGAATTGTTAGTCTTTACCTTCCTTGACTTACTGATATATAAGGAATAAGGGTTCCCATGCTGAAGCTAATTCAGTCCAAACACAAGCAGTGTAAACCCAATTTTGGGTCTATAGTTCATAACACAAACTGCTCTTAGAAATTAGAACAACAGAAAACAGCAAAAAAATTATTCAATAATCAAGTATATTTTTATCTCAATTTTCTCTGGTAATTTTTTCCTGGGTGCTTTTCTGAAAAATTTTAACATGTATTAAATAAAATGACAAATTTTGGGGAAAACTTTCCCCCAAACATGGAACAAAGAAACACAGATTACATTGTCTGAAAGTTCCAATTTTTAAGGAATTTTTTTAAAAAGCCCTTTTACTTAGAATGAAAAATCATAATTTAACAAAGAAATGTCTCATAAAGTAATATTTATGATGGGATAGAAAAATCTATGAATTGCTTTCATGTTAAAGTAGTAGTAGTATACTCTATACAAAGAGCATTGGATAGGAAGCCTGAAATCTTAGTCTCCAGTAAAACAGTGGTTAGATATATAGGCAAGTTCATAGTTCTATTCTCCCTAAAGAAAAATAAAAAGATAAAAAAATAAAAAGCAAGAGAAAGAGGAATAATGGCAACAAATGATAAATGAGACAATGCATGTAGAAGTGCTTATAAACTTTTGGAACTATGAAAATGTTTTGCTTCATTATTTTAGGGAAGAAGGAGCATTAATAAAGACTAACCTTTTTTGCTGTATCTTGAGATATTAAAAAAAAAACACAGATGCCATCTTGCACTTATACCAAACAAAAATCTCTAGTAAAAAAACAGGCATATTGAAAGAAAAATCACAATGTTAGGTTGTATGAATTAATCATTGCCCTTTTAGACTGGTTTAATAGTATTTTTTTTCTAACCTCTGTTTAGTCTCAGTTTTCAATACCGACTGATGAATGCCAAACCCCTCCAGGTCTTACCGCTCATTCTGCATAGCAGTAGACATGGGATTGACTGTTGGGCTCACAGATTTGTTTCTTTCCCATATCATCATAAGTTCAGCCATCCGTTCCTCCGCACACTGCGCAGTAAGCCGAGCCTCTGCATCCTGGTCCCAACAGTCTTCGATTGTCTCCTTGAGTGACCTCACTGCCTATAATAGTGTATATGTCAAACAGTATATCTTTTAAAAAAAAGTATTGATTTTTAGTGACATGAGGTAAAACAAAAATCAATTTTCTTTACCAATATTTTACACAGCTATAATAAAATACTTTAGACTTCAGAGATTTGTAAAGGGTCATATTTCTCAAAAGATGAGTAACAAGTGAGCAAGCAAGGTTTAACTTAACTCCTAAAGAATCAGCCATAAATGTGAGCAGTTGTAAAAAGTTATATGGTTCATCAAGGTCACAGGTTTATGTCATTGTTCACTGTTATTTCTATCAACGCCACTAATTCCACTTCAAAAATGAGTTTTGAGTTTCCTGGAATTTTGGCACCAGGCTATCTTCAATCTCTAGGTGAGTTTTTTTTTACTCCTAGTAAAGGGTACTTCATTCTAACTGTGAAGTTTAAAGGCCTGGCATTTTCTTTTCCTTTAGACTAATTTCAGTGGTAGTATCAGAAGCAGTCTATTCTGTAGTATTAATCTATATCAGCAATAAACAATATAGTCTCCCTTTTGGGGAAAGCTGGTTTGAACTCCCTTTTAAAAAACAGATTTCATAAACTGTCATCCAGAATCCTTTCAGACTTGTTTTTCGGATTGTGTTTATTAAGCTCCAAAGCTTTTTACTTGCTGATATTCACAGTTCTTGCACCTTTAAACGTTTTCAAAAAAATTAAGGTGAGGACTGCCAGATCTAACAAATAATGTATAACAGCACTTAATTTTAACGTTTCAGATAACTGGCAAATCATTTTTAGTATGTATTCCACGCAATGCTGAATCTGAGCATTTTATCTCACAAGCCCATTTTAAGCTAAAGTCCTTGTTAGCTTTCTTGGCAATATTTTTACTGCTTTCCTAATAATTTGTGTTCTCTAACAAACAAACCTTAACCTGTAGGAAATTTGATGGTGTTTGTTGTGGGCATTATGCTAAATGAACACCTGCACGAAGGCCCATGTGGGCCCATGTGGGCCCATGTGGGGCTCGATCCCACAAACCTGAGATCATGACCTGAGCTGAAATCAAGAGTCAGATGTTTAGGTCCCATATTGAACTCGAGTTGGAAGAGGCGAGTCCAGTCTCAAAATGGAGGGCCATAATCAAAGGAACCAGAGCAGTTGAGAAAACTGTTTATTGGTGGTTTGAGCTTTGAAACTACAGATGATAGTTTAAGAGAACATTTTGAAAAATGGGGTACACTTACAGATTATGTGGTGATGAGAGACCCCCCAAACAAAACGTTCCAGGGGTTTTGGTTTTGTGACTTACTCTTGTGTTGAAGAGATGGATGCAGCAATGTGTGCCCAACCACACAAGGTTGATGGGCGTGTAGTGGAACCAAAGAGAGCTGTTTCTAGAGCTGTGAAGAAAATTTTTGTTGGTGGTATTAAAGAAGATACAGAAGAATATAATTTGAGAGACTACTTTGAAAAGTATGGCAAGATAACTCCATAGAAGTTATGGAAGACAGGCAGAGTGGAAAAAAGAGAGGATTTGCTTTTATAACTTTTGATGATCATGATACAGTTGATAAAATTGTTGTTCAGAAATACCACACTATTAATGGGCATAATTGTAAAGTGAAAAAAGCCCTTTCTAAACAAGAAATGCAGTCTACTGGATCACAAAGAGGTCGTGGAGGTGGATCTGGCAACTTCATGGGTCATGGAGGAAACTTTGGAGGTGGTGGTAACTTTGGCCGTGGTGGAAACTTCGGTGGAAGAGGAGGCTATGGTGGCAGAGGTGGTGGCAGCAGAGGCAGTTATGGAGGAGGTGGTGGTGGATATAATGGATTTGGAGGTGATGGTGGCAACTATGGTGGTGGTCCTGGTTATCGTAATAGAGGAGGCTATGGTGGTGGTGGACCAGGATATGGAAACCAAGGAGGCAGATGTGGAGGTAGTGGTGGAGGGTATGATGGTTACAATGAAGGAGGAAATTTTGGAGGTGGTAACTATGGTGGTGGTGGGCACTATAATGATTTTGGAAATTATAGTGGACAACAGCAATCAAATTATCAACCCATGAAAGGGGGCAATTTTGGTGGAAGAAGCTCAGGCAGTCCCTATAGTGGTGGTTATGGATCTGGTGGTGGAAGTGATGGATATGGTAGCAGAAGGTTCTAAAAAAAATTCAGAAGAAAAGGGCTTCAGTTCTTAGCAGGAGAGCAAGGAGTTGTCAGGAAAGCTGCAGGTTACTTTGAGACAGTCATCCCAAATGCATTAGAGGAACTGTAAAAATCTGCCACAGAAGGAAGGATGATGATCTATAGTCAGAAAAGTTACTGCAGCTTAAACAGGAAACCCTTCTTGTTCAGGACTGTCATAGCCACAGTTTGCAAAAAGTGCAGCTATTGATTAAGGCAATGTAGTGTCAATTAGATGTACATTCCTGAGGTCTTTTATCTGTTGTAGCTTTGTCTTTGTCTTTTTATTTTCATGACATCAGGTATATTGCCCTGTAAATTGTGGTAGTGGTACCAGGAATAAAAAATTAGGGAATTTTTAACTTTTCAAAAAAAAAGAGTCAGATGTTTAACCAACTGAGTCACCCAGGGGACCCAGCCAGTTACGTTTTAGAAACTCAATTTAACTGATGTTTCTTCATGGTTAGATTCAAGGTTTGAAACTTTGGCAGAAAAATCACAGAAGAGATGCTGTGTTCTTCTTTTTTCTTTCTTTTATTTTTTTTAAAGATTTTATTTATTTATTTGTCAGAGAGAGAGAGCACAAGCAGGGGAATGGCAGGCAGAGGGAGAAGCAGGCTCCCCGCTGAGCAAGGAGCATGATACGGAACTCGATCCCAGGACCGTAGGATCATGACCTGAGCCATGACACTTAACCAACTGAGCCACCCAGGCATCCCTCGAGATGTTGTGTTCTTCTCATTGTATCTTATCATGTGGTTCATAATTCTGATCTGTCTCATTACTAGTGAAGTTAACCTTGATCACATGTCTGAGTTGGTGCCTGCCAGGTTTCTCTACTGTAAAGTTCCATTTTTCCCTTTTATATTCAATTAATGTTTGTTGTTGTTTTTAAGACTTTAATCAGTGTTTTTGGGGTGGAGGGAATACTTAAAATCTCTGTAAATATATTATTCTCTATTCACCTTTTCACCCACTGGTTTTAACATCACTTGATGTTTCTTGGCTGAATTTCTGTGATGCTTGCTAGTAACAAGACATTTAAAAAATGATAGTAAATGCGTAATAGAAATATGGACAAAAGGCACATAAACAAGAAGTGCAAATTCCTGATAAAATATGCAAAGATGATTAATCTTACTATGTTGAGGCAGTATAGTATAGCAGTTAAGAATATTAGTTCCAGGGGTGCCTGGGTGGCTCAGATGGTTAAGCGTCTGCCTTCGGCTCAGGTCATGATCCCAGGGTCCTGGGATCGAGTCCCGCATCGGGCTCTCTGCTCCTTGGGAGCCTGCTTCTCCCTCTGCCTCTCTCTCTCTCTGTCTCTCATGAATAAATAAATAAAAATCTTAAAAAAAAAAAAAAAAGAATATTAGTTCCAGGGGCACCTGGGTGGCTCAGTCATTAAGCGTCTGCCTTCGGCTCAGGTCATGGTCCCAGGGTCCTGGGATCGAGCCCCGCATTGGGCTCCCTGCTCCGCAGGAGGCCTGCTTCTCTCTCTCCCACTACCCGTGCTTGTGTTCTCTCTCTTGCCCTCTCTGTCAAATAAATAAATAAAATCTTAAAAAAAAAAAAAAAAAAAAGAACCTGGCCTCAAATCTTGGCTCTACTACTTACTAGCTGCAAATTAAAACAAGATCCATTCCTACCTATCACATTAAGAAAGATAAAAATATTTTTATAATACAAAGTGTTGGTGATGGGAAAGCAGGCACTTATATACTGTTGTCAGGAGTGTCCTCAATTTGGAGGTAATCTATCAATAACAAATCATAAATGTATTTGCGTTTTGAGTCAGCAATACTACTTCCAGGAATTTATTCCTCAAATACACTTATATGTTTGTAGAAAAATGCGTGTATAAGATATTCACTGCAGTATCATTTATAATAGCAAAAGCTGGGAACTACCCACATGTCCTCTAATAGGGATCTGGCTAAAAACTTGCAATATAATGGATACTATGCAGAATGAAAAGAATTAGGAAGATGTATATGTTCCCAGTTGCTAAGTAAAAATTGTAAGGTAAGTGGATGTAGTAATTCCCATCTATATATTAGAAAAGGATATAAAAACATATAGTCATGTAATCCATAGAAATTTCTGAAGTCTACAGAAGGAACGTAAGAGTGGTTGTTTCTTTGGAGGGCCTTTTAGATGTCTGGGCATGGCATATTTTTTGTATTGCTAAAAATAATTTATTGTTTGAACTCTTTGTTTGAATTTTGACATGTATTTAATGAATTTTTTGAATAGGTAATATATGTATGTGTCAATAAATTCAAAATGTCAAAAAGAGAATACAATTTCCCTTCCATTCCTATTCACGAACCATCCATTTTCCCAGTCTAAAGGCAACCAATGTTACCAATTTCTTGGGTATTCTTTCAGAGAAACTTTATTACTTTTTAATTCAGACATATACCCATCATATACCACACATACAGATTTATAGTTTTATTCATGCTTTTTTTTTAAGATTTTATTTATTTATTTGACAGAGAGAGACACAGCGAGAGAGGGAACACAAGCAGGGGGAGTGGAGGAGGGAGAAGCAGACTTCCTGCCAAGCAGGGAGCCCGATGCAGGGCTCGATCCCAGGACCCTGGGACCATGACCTGAGCCAAAGGCAGACGCTTAATGACTGAGCCACCCAGGCGCCCCAGTTTCATTCATGTTCTTAATTACTAAACATGAAGTGCAACACAATGAAGTGCATACACTGAAATCTTCCTAAAGCAAAGATTTGGATGTCTTTCCACACAAAACTGAAAGAGACCCTTCCTTTCCAAAACAGAGCACTATCTATTGCAGAGTACCATTCACCAACTGC